CTCCTGCCTCCAGGTCCCTGCCCTGTGTGAGTTCCCGTCCTGACATCCTTCCATGATGGACTATGACGCAGAACTGTAAGCCAAATAAACCCTTCCCTCCCCAACTTGCTTTTTGGTCATAGTGTTTCCTGGAAACAATAGAAACCCTAAGATAAGGGCTGTGTCACTATGCCTAGGTCCCTCTGTCTGTTTGTTTGTTTGATGGTGCTGTTGCTTTGTTTCTACCTTTATCAAGAGTCCTGTAAGCTATTTTTACATGGCTGTAGTATATTTCTGTTGCTATATGGTACCCATCATCTTAATAGTTTCACATTTAACTTGTGTGGTTTCCTTTACTTCCCCATTCTTTAAAATGTTGCTATGGCTGTTCTTGGATATGTTGCTTAACATATATGCAAGAGAGTTTATCTCAGCTGTAGACTGCACAGTGGAGTCATGGTTTTTACTTTGCCAGGATAGAGCAACTGTTTTCCCAAGATTTACCATCAACTCACATTCCAGGTTAGCCGAGGACAGTAGTTTCTGCTGTCCATCACTCTGGCTGCATTTAGTATTCTCTCATTAAAATTGTTTATCCGGAAAAAGGTGAAATTATATCTTTTTTAGTCATACACATACATATATATTTAAAGCCAGTGTCCCAATCAGCCCGGGACAGCCTGTCCTGGAACTTGCTATATGCTGCTGTGATTTAAAATGGTCAAAAAGCAACTTGGGCATTATTTCTTTATGGAGTACAGTTTATTATGGCCGGCAGCCAAGGCAGACACTCAAGACAGGAATCTGGGGGCAGGAACAGAAGCAGAAGCCATGAGAATGATGCTACAATTAACATCATAATGAGGTTTGTTTTATTATCTGTCTCTTGAGATGGTCTCATGTAGCCCCGGTTGACCATGAACTGACCAAGAGTGGCCCTGTTCTCATCTCCACTTCCCAAGTTCTGGGATTACAAGAACCTGTCACCATGCCCAGCCTTGAAGTGGGTTTTTATATTGTTCATTTTTGAGCAGAATAAATAAATATAGGTTGAGGAAAAGGGAGAATGAATTCCTGAAAGTAGAAGGGGTGCCAAGAAAGGAATAAACTAAGTTGGCTTTAAGACCTAGTAAGCCCATCACAGACACTGCTTGAAATATTGACAGCACCTAGCAACTGGCCACATCAAACACTTACTCCCCATTTGCACTCAATTAACCTGAGCTAATTAAGCTGATGTGGTGCAAGCTTGAAAGAACCCAACACTCCAGGTCAGAGCCCAGTTTGACTCTGAGACTCCGCTCTGGGCATGGACTGGTTATTTCTCCCCTACAATCACCTTTACACCTACCATGAATGCCCTGAGTGTCTGTCACTTTGGACATTCGTGATCTGAACTCACCCAGATGGCAGTTTCTCACTGGGCTCCAGATTCCCAGCTTATGTCCATGCCTCTACAATCACAGTTCATGTAGTTAATCAACCCTCGGACCTAGCATGCGCTTCTGCAGGGTATCATGCCAAACTCAAAGCAGAAAGCACACCTAAGTGAGGTACACTTATTGTCTCTCACCATAAGAAGGATGACATCACATATCATGTGACATGTAATAAGGGCTCCATGGGATGGATGGATCTCAGCAGTCTGTAAGTGGCCCTGCTCCTGATGAGGCACTGAGAAGAAAATCTCATGGCAGAGACAAAATCATGCTTTAAAGCAATATATCCAGCAGGGTGGGGCTAAAGCTCAGTGGTTCAGGATGTATGAAGTCCTAGGTTCAATCCCTGGTACTGCTGGAAAGGAAAAAGTAGTTCAGATTCCTCACAGGGGTTACCCACCAATTTTTAGACTTCAAGAGCCATTTCTTTTATTTGAAAAGCCTATAAAACTTGAATTACTGTTGTTATATAACTACCTGCTGATTACCCAAGACATGGTTCTCTTGAAATATGTCTTTTCCTCTCTACCCTGTAGGTGCTAATGGCAAAGCTCAAGGCAGGCAGCTGCTTTGGTGAGAAGGCATAAATATGCTTTCACATCTGGCTTCTCAGTCCAGTGATGCTTGGTGGGAGGTCATGTTCCTGGGGCCTATTGCAGGGTCTGACTTCTCAAGAGTCTTGGTACGTGAAACAGTTCAACGGTGACTGCCCGTGTGCTCTCTGGCCCTACAAGCATGCTCTTCCAGGCCCTGGGTTGGGGAGAGGTACTGGAAAGCTAACACTGTAAGGACAAAGAGTTCCTGGACAAAATCCTCCCTGGTGGTCCTGAGGATTGGCCTTCAAGGATGCTGGGCTAGTAAGAACTCTACCATGAGCCATGTCTGTAGCCCCTTCCTTGTCTCTAGTACCTTAACACATCAATTCTGAGATGTGTTCTGTAGTTTGTTTGCTGGTTTCTTCCTTTTTTCCCCCTAGACAAAGTTTGGTCTATAGACTCAGAGATCCAACTGCCTCACCTAAATGCTGGAATTAAAGATGTGTGCCACCACTGCCCAGCCCAACTGTGTTCTGTAGTTTTTTTAGGTTGCACTCAGCAGAATTAAGCCCATCACACACACACTAGCCCTCAATGTACCCTTCAACAATTATCCTTCCCTTCTCTCAACTCTTCCACTCCTCAGGGTGCCTCTTTGAGGTCACCCCCTAAATAAACTTTACACTCAAGTTTTGGTCTTGGAGCCAGATGTGGGAGGAAGGGATCTGAACTAACATGGGGGTGTCTTTGAGAGTGTGGGAAAAACAAGGATTCTCCTCCTGAGGAAATGATGTCATAGTCTCAAGAAACCAGGGTGGGATGTGGTGAATTTTAGATGTGAGAATTGGATTCTAAAACAGTCTACATTTCCTTCCCTCTTCTCCCCTAAATGATTTCAAGGGAGTGTGAGTGGAACAAAACCATAATTTTATTAATAGTTTCAAAAATACTTCAAACTAACTGTTTAAAGCACACTTCACACAGCTGGCTCCTTAACTATTTGCTATTATAATACATCTTTCCTGTGTGGTGCTCTATAATTTATAACTGCTTAACTTACTTAAGCTGTCCACTGTTCACTACAAAACTGCACACTCCACAAGGAAAAAAAAAAGGAACTAAATGTACCCTGGTCACTGTTAAGACAGTATTCACACAGAAGATTCTCTAGAGGCTGAAGCTTGAGCCTGTGGCCCCAAATACTCATTTCCTTCTTGCTTCCCTGCTCATTAAAATCGTGGTATTTTAACCCATATCAGGCCGCAGAGAGAAATTCAGGGACAGGGCAAATAAAATGAGCAGATCTATAGACCAGGTTCCTGCTCTACTATTCCACTAAGGTGCATGTAGGAGGAGGTAAACGAGAACACATTCGTGAGTATAAAGTGGTGTTAGCTAAAATAATTTAGACCCAGTATCTTGACATTTCACCAAGACATAGGTAGTTCCTTTTCTTGGGGGAAGAGGGAAGAGAGAGAGAAGGCAGTCCTAAATTCTTTATTTAATTTCAGTTTAATGAAAGAAAATTGTAAAGTCTGTCCGTGGTTCACATAGCCCAGTAATTCCAGATCATCTTTCGTTTATTGCTCTATTGGTAAACATTTTGAGAATTCTAATCCGTTCTCACTTCCTGTTGATGTTCTTCAGTCCTGGGCATGCAGCTGTGGTGACTTTTCAACCAAACGGGGTCTGACCTCCCATGTTCTCCCAGCACCCCTCAATCCGTACCTGTTATAGGGCGTTCCTGAACTTTCCAGCCCAGGGGCAGGGGCTTCCCCTCCCGCTTAATTATATAATCCAGGTATTTTCCTTTCTCTGCCTCTCTCCCCTCTGTACCCGCGCACTTTTCCTTTTCTCTCCAGTGACTTCTGGCCTGTTCTTTGGGACCAGCGAACCCCCCGAGAGGTGCTCCCAACAAACCTACATTTCTATACTTGTCTTGAATTGGCTCACCTTAGCCCTGTGAGGTCTGGCCCAAATGGCACCTCTTCCTGCGTTCTACAAGTCCCATCAACCAGACGTGCTCAGCGGACTTCCTCCTGGAGAGCTCAGCAGTGTTCTGTTGCTTGGTAGGGCCTGCGCTGAGGTGTTCAGCTGAGCCTACCTCCGCATGCACCCTATCCGGGTCATGTTTTTTTGTTTTTTATTTTCCCTCCGAGAAAACCGAACTTTCTGTGAGGATGACAAAAGACAGAGCCCTTGAAATGACCCCAAGGCGCGTGACCAAATCCCATTTAGCAGTCAAGGCGGTGCTGGGCAGAGCCAGTAGCCAAGGTCCCGGAGGCAGGTGCTAATTGGCTCTCTCCACCCGAAGCCGCGAGAGGACAAAACTCGCTCCCGCCCGGATCCTGGAGGCGGCGCTGAGTACTTCCGTCATCACCGCCTGAGCTTCCGGTTCCACTCGGAGCCCCCGACACCTTTTAGCCCGGTTGGCCGTCGTCCGCGCACCCCTCCCTGCCGCTCCCCTGGGCTGCTCTCCACGCCCCGGGAGCGGCTTGCACGTCGCGAGGCTGTTACGGCGACGCCGTGACGCCACCCAGAGAGGCGCGCCCCGAGAGGCTCCAGCGTTCCGGCGGAACAGCCGGCCAAGTCCCCGGAGGCGGAACCAACGTGTGACTGACGTCCGCACACACCAGTTGCCCTGCTCACGCTTCCTCAAGCCAACCAATGAGCGTGAAGCGGGGACGGCGGAGCCCCGCAGCCGCCCCCGGAAGCTCCGCTCCCTCCGCTTGGCGCTCGGTGCCCGCCATGCTTAGTGTGGCTGCTCGTGCCGAGGCAGCTCGCTCTCTTCTGGCTTTCAGATGCCCTCAGTGAACTCCTCCACGATCGCCCCCTTCCCTCTACCGACTTACACTCTCTCCCGCTCCTTCCTCGCTGGCTGCTGGTCCAGCCACACCCAAGATGGCGGCTGGAGGCGGCGGGCCGGGGCCCGGCTCCCCGGCGTGGTGACGTCAGCGCGCTGCGTGCCGGCAGGTGGAGGGAGAAGGGAAAGTTTGGCCCGTGCCTGGGGTTCGGGTGGAGGGCGGGACGGAGGGGCAGGGCCGAGGAGAAGCTGAGTCGCGGTGCCGCGGAGGCTGAGGCCGGCTCGTGGGCTGGGCCCGGGACGGCGGGCCGCGGGGCCGCAGGAGGCGAGGTCGGCCGCAGCGGCGCGTCCCTGCCTCGGGGCCGCGCTTGACCCGCGCGCCCCGGCGTTGTGCGCCCCAAGGCCGGGCCGGGCCGAGCGGCTTGTGGGGGTCGGCGGCTGGGCGTGGGGAGGCGCGCGGCGAGTTGAGCGGAGAGCCCCGCGCGTGAGGGAGCGCGGAGCCAGGCGCTGCAGCCGTCATGTCCGAGGACTCGAGCGCCCTGCCCTGGTCCATCAACCGGGACGACTACGAGCTGCAGGAGGTGATCGGTGAGAGCCCAGGGGCGACGCGCGGGGACTCCGGGCCCGAGACGTGCCTGGTGCGAGGCGTGCGCCTAGGGTGGGGCTCCCTCGGCTGGGAGAGGCGTACCTGAGACAGATGTGTTCTGTGCAGAAGGATCCGGGTGGATGGGCGGCAGGCCTGGCCGAGGCAGCTCTGGGACCGTGGGCTGTGCGCACCGGAGTCCACTCCTGCTTCTGCGCGCCGACCCTGTCAAGTGTACGCAAAGTCCTAGTTTGCAGGGGTGGGGCTGAGCTGGTTAGGCGCAGCTCTGGCTTCTTACAACCGACTTCTGTGGTCGAGGAGGCAGACGTTAACTAGATGGAGTGAAAAGCTGTGACTGGTCTCGCTGGGTGGCAGGAAGGGAATGAGCAAGGTGCTTTAATAAGGAATGGCTTGGCTGAGTTAGGTGATTTCACGGAAAATTGTTTTTCTGAGGTGAAGATCTGTAAATTGAGCCCTAAAGTGAGGAGAGGGAAGATCGTCTTTTCTCCCTTTGAGGGATAAGGAAATAACGAAGACTCAGGAGAAAGTGCTTGATAACTTTTAGGGCCGGAAAGAAGGCACACGTGGATCTCAGGGACGTTTGAAGCCATGTAAAGATTTTGGATTTTAAAGTGTCCTTCGAGGGCTTCAACTAGCGACCATGGCGTGATCCATAAATCTGGTTACGGTGTGTGGAGTGGACCTGAATGAATAGGGTCTGAGAATAGCAGTTGCCCGACACCAAACAAGGATTGTCCTTTCCAGAGAGACGGCAGTCATGAGGAGGTAGATGCTTAGGCCCCAGAGAAGAGGGGAGAATTTGTAGTGCAGCAGTAATCCAGTGACCATAGGAGTCGGAAAGCCGTGGGACAGTGGTGGTGTGCGCCTGTAGTCCCAGCCCTCGGGAGGCAGAGAGAGGCTGGTAGATCTTCGTGAGTTCCAGGCCAGCCTGTTTTGCAGAGTGAGTTCCAGGATGGCCAAGACTACACACAAAGAAACCTTGTCTCATCCTCCTTTTTCTCTCCTCCCCCCCCCCAAAAAAAAAAAAAGTCAAAAGGGGATGGATTTAGTTATACAAAGGTTTGATCAGCTGACATGAGCAGACTGTGTTGGAAGATTGTCTACACTGCAGCATCCTGTCTTAAAGTTAGTTTTATACTAAGAGACTAGCTGAAGAGTGTTTATTGCACTGTGTTAAAAAAAAAAAAGCAACCCACCAATTGTGTGTATGTGTGAGTGCATTCATAAACACACATGCATGCTTGAGGATAGGATTCCTTGTTTGCTTTCCACCTTAGTTTTTGATCATCTCATTAGTTGATCTGGAGCTCACCGCTTGGCTAGGCTGACTGTAAGACTCCAGATCCTGTCCCTGCTTCCCAGCACTGGGCTTTCAGGCTCTTTACAGGATTACAGTACCCAGGATTACAATACCCAGGTACACATGGGTGCTGGGGGATCGAGACTCAGAGAGTTATGCTTGTAAGAACACTTCACAGTGAGCTATCTCCCCAACCCCCCCCCCTTTTTTTTTTTAAAGGCATTTCTCAGGTAGCTCAACCTGGCTGTGTAGTTGAGGCTGGTCTTGAATTCTTTATTCTCCATTTCTCTAAGTTTCACTTTTATACTTTACAGGCCTCCTGATTTCCAAGAACATGGGCTAAGTTTTATCTAAAAGATATCAGCTGGGCAGCAAGATGGCTTGGTAGATGCAGGAGGCTGCTGCCAAGCCTGAGGTCTGACTTCCATTCCTGGGATGCTCATGGTGCAAGGAGGAGCTTGTAGTGCCCTCCCTCTTCCATAGATGTGTAATAAAACCTAAAGGATGTTGCTCTTTAGTCACTTCATAGGTCTGTCCTTCCTGCTTGTTGGGTCTTTGATATGTACTGGCTGAGCTAGGTACATCTCTTTCTCTTACAAAGACTCTCATGATTGCTCCTTTCTTGGGACTTTACCTTCATATTGAATGAAGGGTTTAAATGGGAGATTCCAGAATGATGTCAGAAAAACAAGGGTTCTGGAAGACTGACATCATTTTTCTTTCTGGTGCAGTGCACACCTTTCGTAGTTCTCTGAAGCCTAACTAGGGTGGAAGGAGGATTGCAGTCATCATCCTGGATGCTTCTGCTGTTCAGCTACAAACTGTCAGGTTTGCAAGGGCTGTCAAGAGTTAGTACACTAACTAACTTAACAGAACTATACAACAGGATGTTTGAGTGGGCAATAGGAAGGGAGTCTTAGTCTTTTTGAGAGTGGATTCTCACCCCAGTCACAGAATGAGCCACAGCTCATCATAGGTTAAGAATGCCAGCGTGAAACCAAATCTTTTAAAAAACAATCTGATGGCTTAGCAGTTAAGAGCATTTACTGCTCTTCCAGAGGACCTGAGTTTGGTTCCTAGCACCTGGATCAGGTGGCTCACAGCTGCCTGTAATAGAAGCTCCAGGAGATCTGATGACCTCTGCTGGCCTCAGGCACATACATGACATGTTTATCAAAATAAACAGCTACAAACATAAATAAAAAATAAACATAAATCTTGGAATAAACTGACTTAAAGTGTCTGACTCAATACCACGAATTTTGGTCATTATAACATTGTGTGTTTGTGTTTTCTTTTGGTACTTTTACTGTATAACCATCATATTTCTAGCTTTGGATATATCCAAAGTGAGATCCTTTGGTGCTTCCTGGTCCCAGTCCCAGGCCACCACAAATTTATTTTTGCCTATAGGTTGTCTTTTGTGAACATTTTACCTAAATAGGATCATATAATAATGTGACCTTTGGTGTTTGGCTTCTTTCACATAGCACACTTATTTTTACTTCCCTAAAAAAGTTTGTGGAAGTATAATTTGCATCTCATAAAATTAATATAATTAAGTAATATTTTAGTAGATTTACAGAGTTGTTCAGTCATCACCACAATCCAGTTTTAGAACATTTCTCTCATTCCAAAATGATGCCTCATGTCCATTTGCAGTAACTCCCTGTTCCACCCCAGCCCAGGGCAGCCAAAACTTTACTTTCTGCCTGTATGGCTTTTGCCCCTGGACATTTCATATGGGAGTAATCATGTGATGTGTGCTCCTTGGTGCTTGTCACCTCTTGCTTTGCATGTTTGCTGAGGTTCGCCCATGTCCTGTAGCACACACTAACAGTTATACGTAGTTCCTTTGATTGGACACCAGTTGATGGTTACTCAGTTGTTTCTGCTCCTTGGCTGTTTAGAATAAAGCTGTTAGCATTCATATCAGCTCTTATTTGGAAAATGTTTTGTTTCTTTGTACAAACCCGGGAGTAGAGTTGCAGGGTCATAATAGTAAGGTTAACTTCTTTGTAAACCACCAAAATAGTGTTTTACATTCCACTGATCTGTGCTGGAATTTCCATTTTTCTACAACTTAGTAATTTGCAGTCTGTATTTTTGTGTGTGTGTATGTATACATGTGTTCAGGCGAGAAGCCTAGGGCCTCACACATGCTAAGTTTGTGCTTTGCTGCTGAATTACAGGGCTAGCCCTGTCTCTCTCTGATAGCTGTTGTGGGTGTGTAGTACTATTAGATGTGCTTCTCTAAGGACAGTATAATGAGGGTGAAGAGCTTTTTATGTCCTTGCTTATCTTTAATTCTTTTACTTGGGTTGTACTTTGATATTTTTTTGAGGCAAGGCTCTTTTCTGGACCCCAGGCTGTCTGTCTGTCTTTTCTTTTCCTCTCCATTCCCTTTTTCCCTTTCCCTTCTCCTTCTTTCCTTTTTTTCTTAGTGTTTTATCTATCTATCTATTTATTTTCCTTCTTCTGAGACGGGATTTCACCATGTAGCTCTGGCTGTCCTGAAAATCTCTATAGAGATCAAGCTGGCCTGGAAATCAGAGATCTTCCTGCCTCTCCTTCCAAAGTGCTAGGATTAAAAGTGTGTGTCGCCATGCGTGGCTCAGAAATTTTGATCATTTTTTTAATTATTTAATTTTTATTTTATGTGCATTAGGGTAAAGGTGTCAAATACATTACAGACAGTTGTGAGCTGCCATGTGGGTGCTGGGAGTTGAACCTGGGTCCTTAGGATGAGCGCTCTTAACCACTGAGCCATCTCTCCAGCCCCTTGATTAATTTTTTTTTTAATTAATTTGTTTTGAGACAGGATCTAGCTATTTAGTTGTAGTTGGTCTGGAACTTGCCTAGGTATATCAGGCTGTCTGGTGATCCTTCCGCCTCTGCTTCCACCTCCGCTTCGGAGGGTTGCAGTTACAGGCCGGAATCATCACAGCTGGCTGAAAGTTTTACATTTTAACCAAGTTTATGTTTATATCATTTTTTTCTTTGGGTTTAGGTATACTTAAGACATTTTTACTAACCTAAGATCATAGAGATGTTTTCCTATTTTGTTCTAAGTATTGTAACTGTAGCTGCTGTATCTAAGTCTCTGATACATTTTGAGGTTTTGTATGGTAATAGATAAGGTAAAGTATCTTGTTTTATACTTAAAGACATTGAGACATAGAATGAGAGAACAACTTGAGGGACTCCTCTCTCTCCTACCATGTTGGTTCTGGGGATCAGACTCAGGTCATCAGGTATCTTTACCCTTTGAGCTATCTCATTGGCCTCTTGTTCTCCTTTATGGTAAAATATCGAGAAACCTGACCTAGAAGCATGTTCACCATACAGGTTGGAATTCAGAAGACTTTTTATCATCTTAAAGATGGTTTGGCAAGCTTTAAAGTTTCTTGTGTGATTATTTGTAAAAGGTGTTAGTAGCCTTACAGTTCATCATTTTAGGAACTTTGAACTCATTTCTAGTTGAGTTTACATAGAAAATTCCAGCATATTATGGCTGGAGAGATGGCTCAGCAGTTCAGAGCACTTGTTATCATTCCAGAGGACCCAGGTTCAATTCCCAGAACCCATGTTTGGTAGCTGACAACTGTCTGTAACTGCAGCTACACGGGATTTGACACCTTATTCTGGCCTCTGTGAGTGTGTGTGCACACAAATAAAAATAGA